AACGCAGACGTGGCATGCGCAGAAAAGATGACTAGGACCCTCAAAGTAATCGTTTGCAGACTAAGCAGAAGCATGTGTTGTCGTAAGACATACTGGTCCTTTGTGTTCCTAAATTAGACCGGTGTCGTTTGGGATCCTGGTGCACCTTCACTAGAGGAACCCCCTTGTAACCTTGACAACGTTCTTGGAGCGGTCTGAAATGGCAGAGAAGGAAGACAATTTTGAGATTTGGCGGCAGTTCGTAACCTTCTGTCTGGCAGTACTTTTATCTATTCGCCCAGAAAAAAAAAGCAGACTTGTGCCGCACCAACCACACTCTCTCGTATCGCCATTTCGAAACATCAAGATATGTATGCATGATGACTGGATATGGGTGTTGGAGAAACAGCTAAAGAGCGAGGTTAACCGCCTCCAACTCAAAGAGGGAAGGAGTCAGGCCTCACATGCGAAAGTGTTGCCAAAAAGAAAACCGTTGAAATGATCCATCGTTAGCCAATGCGGACTGTAAATCTTACAGAGATTTTTTTGCGCGTTTGTCAATATCAAGTTGGTTTAATGCTGAGGGTGGTGTAAACCATCAATCTGTCGCGTGCCGCGAGGCCACTAAACGTACATAGAAGATCCATGTGGCCAATCTGTGGTCCATAATATCAGCGAAATCCATTTCATGCCATATCTTCCCACTGAAAACGCGTGGAATTACCGGTTAAATGATTGGTATCCTTCAACGCCTTTTAATAACTTTAAGGTTTTTGAAAGTGCTGTATTTTAACACACACTAAACGTTACAAAAAAAGAATATTCAGAATTTTTTTCCCGGACGAAAGGGCGGACCTTTGGCGTTGCAAGTAAATCATGCCAGTTCTCTCATCGGTAATATAGTTTGGAACGTGTCATCTTTTCCAGGACAAGGCGAAAGATTCCATTTTTGGCAGCAGTTTCTTCATGACAAAAGCAGGAATTTAAGGTATTTGTTCGTTGCTTGACACTTTTAAACACTTTTCACCATATTTTCTCTGACTTCGTATGAAGGTATTGAATCCATAGTCGAGGTATAATCCATAAAATATATCTGAGGTAGGGCAAAAATTTAGGAGACTTAAAAACAGCGATGCATTTTGGTGTACAAATTGTAAATGCAAATGCAATATCAGATCGGTTTAAAGAGTAGTTAGAAAGTGAACAGCTTTTCTAAATGTACATTTACTCCTTTATGTATGCAAAAGTATGAAAACAAAATATAACTGACTTTCTAAGAGTACACAAGATATGAATTCCTACTACTTAAGTTGCGTTTTTTGCAAAGTCCGGTATATTTTGGAGTGAAAACAAGCTGTATTTATAAGGCCAGAATTCTGGCGTGTGGAAAATCTCAAAACAATTAATCATTCTAATCGAACCCGCATATTCGGGTTTCGGATGATTTGTTATCGTATACTGGTGTAACCGATTGGCTTCATGTAACAAGAAGCTCTGAAACGGAAGTTGTTTGTTACACTGTTTATAACAGTGATGACTATAACTCAATTTTTCAAGTCAGTCGATTGTGCTTTAGGTAAGTGCCTGATGAACAAAAAACCTATATTCCGCATTATAATTAAAATTTTTTTCATAATGGCCATTCTCACAGAGTGGACGACTTTTTCAGAAATAGGTGGTAAGTATAATATAATTTTGCTGCAGGTTATAAATTACTTTCATTGGGAGCATAAAATGGAAGTAAAAGTAGAAGCAAAATTACTATACCCCATTGCGTATGGTCCACCGGAGTAACGTCGGTTGCGAGGCGCAGGTGGTGGAACACTCAATCTCTACGGAGTGTACTCCAGAGAGCTGACCCTGGATCAAGTTTATTGGGTTGCCTCCCGTACCCGTGCCAAAGCCGTCATCGGCGGAGTTAGAGGTAGTACCCTCAGCGCTTGCAACCAGTTTCGTGTTCATCATGGCACGATCGGAGGCGAAGAACACAGAATAACCAGGAGGCGCGTCGAAAGAAGTGTTATTATGGACGCTACCGGTGGGATAGAGCGTGCTTGCCATGGGGACCGCCAGGTGACTGCTTGTTGATAATAGTTTGATTTTTGATGTTTTCACAATCAGCGGAACTAGAAAGGAAAATCTTCTTTTTAGAATGGGAGCACTTACGTGCTGCGATAATACAAAGGAACATTCACAGTACTCTTTTAAAGGAACTAAAATATTACCGGTAAATTTGACGTTTTGCAATCCGTACGAGTGACAGAAAGTTGATAGTGGAAAGAGTCGAACATTCTTACGAAAAATAACATCAAAGGGTCAGTTACTTTTTATAAGAACATGATCCACGACATTTTACAGACCTAAGGGTAGTTGTCTGAGTACGTAAATATAACACTTAGTTTCTGACAAAGAGTTTCGGCAGAGACAATAAATAGTAATAATAATCGTGTTGGAAAACTTGTCTGTCACATTCTAAGGCCACAAGAAATACGGAACGTCAAAACACCGTCATGAAGAATGCTTACTAGTGACATTTTCGACTCTCAATACTCAGTATTTACGCAGCACGAAGTTTAAAAAAGCTGCTTAAAGTCCAGTTCAAGGCTTAAAATATTTAAAATGGAACGACGTTGAAATAACAAGAACAAACATGAAGTCAGTACAAAAGACTTAGTGGCAAAATTATCAAAGGTGTTGTTTAGCTAGCATATTGTGGTGGGCAACCTGATGTTTTTATTTTCATGCATTACGGTGAGTAAGTCAGTTTTTCTGAGGCCGTGCACTATGAAGAGTGCTGGCTGTCATCTTTTCTCCATTTTAATGTAAGTTTGCGACGGAACTCACGGCCGCTCCGCGGCTGAAGCTCCCAGCTCTTCCATTCCAGAGAGCAACAATAACTGAGACGTTTTGTACCGGTTCCATTCAACGTTGATTCGTGTTTGCACCCCCTATCCATAAGACTTTCCTCCATTGCTTCCATTTACTAATTCTACCATAATGCTAATGCAGTATGGTTTTTTCTGTGAATAGATTTCAGGAAGAGAAGGGGTCATGAACGCATTAGAGAA